CCGGGGGGGGGGGGGGGGGGCATGGTCCCGCCCTTGCTTGCCCTTGCTGGGAAATTTAGGAACAAAGTTCTCTTGAAACGTCATTCCCTCATTTTAAGACCTATTTTACGCAAATTGGCCATTGTTACCTTTACACATTAATTTAAATGATTGATTCCAATAATTTTACTCAATGTCTTCAATGTTCTCTTTCCAAAATGCATTGCCCATAAAAAGCCGAAAAGCTGTATATACTTAAGAACTTTTCCATGTATTCTTTCATCTCCTTGTGGCATGTGAGAATCAGATCACAACTTGTGTATTTTTTAAAAATTACTTCTTTAATCATTTGAGTAAACCTTCAGGCTGTTGCAGGCCGTAAGTGTTGCCTCAGGCAATAAATTTTACTGCCTGATATAGAACACTGAATATTATTAGCTGAGCACCTGTGCATGTAACCAGCTCAAATTACTTGTAACTATACATTTATCATGCTCACTCATATGTCTAATATTTTTTTCTTGACTGTCTTATTTGCAGGCAAAGTTCATATTACATCTATGACAGTGTTATCAGTGTTACTGAATCGCGGCACCATGAATTCAAAACTGGAGGGGGTAATTACCCCATCAGTATTTTACCGGAGGTAAATACATTATACACCTAATGCCAGATCCTGAGGTAAAAAATTAGTTTTGTTTTCCCGAGAGGCAAACTAAACTAACTAATATTGCGAGGGATCTGACATTAAGTGTTTTGTTATACAGTGAAACCTCTATTAAGCGGACATCTTCGGGACCTTCCCAAGTGTCCTCTTAAGAGCTTCTGTCTGAAAGACCAGGGAAAGCTTGGAAATAGGGGTCAGCCGATTTGGCTCAAATTTGGTACACTTAGTTACTATGAATACTTATGCAATATGCCAAAGTTTCAGCTCCATTGCTCTTATATGGACTGAGTTCTAGATATTACCCTTTTGGCGTCCCCCAATTCTTTTTTTATAGCCCATTTTGTGCACTTTTCAATACTTTGATTACAGTGTCAGGGGTATTTCAAAATATAAATTAAACTCACTTTTTTTTAGTTCTATCCTTAAGGGTTTTATAGCAAAACATATGGCTCAAAGAAATATTTCTGTTGTTTGTTGAATAATTGTTAAGTGATGCTCTTAAAGGCATTTTTAGTGAAACTGAAAATAGCCAAAGTTTAAGTAGGATTTACTTTAGTGCCCACTTTCGAAATAACACAATTCTGACATGAGCAGAGAGTTTAGCCCTAGATATGAAAAAAACTGGATAAAAAACTAAGGTTACGACTTTTTCACTGTGAGGCCTCTCTTTGAAGATGCTAATACAGCCACTTAATTCTGCTCCGGTCATTTTCCCCTCGTCATTAAGCTAATATAGAGTATATTAGCCAAAGACTTTCCTGTTTGTAGCACTTTTACTTTCCAATTCCACCTGAACATTAAAATTGGCAAGATATGAATATCTGCTTCAGAAGAAAGTCACACTTGGTCCAACAGTCCACATGAGAGGATTTTTGTCAGAAAAGGATGCTTGCTAAGGGAAAAAGTTTCTGAAGGTAGGGTAAGACATATAACAAAAGGAAATAAATTTGAATATTCAAATAATCCATTTTCATTTCCGGGCTAGTATATTCACTTAACAGACACCACGCGAGGCCCCAGGATAAAGTTTCCTTGATAATATACTTCAGCCTAGTTCCTAGGCCTTCTCTCTTCATCCGTTGTCCGGGAGAGAGCGGGCGAGAGAATGAGTTCTCAGTGAGTATCTCGGTGACGTCACAGCTCATGGTAGAGTCCAGGAATGACCGGGCCAAAAACGCCTGGGGACTAGGCTGAATATACTTGTAAATGAACAATCCCTCTCAGAAAATACCATACCATACCATAATGCTCTTTTTTGTCACCCCAAAATTTTGCATAAGCATTGTTTTCAGTTTCTCTTGGGGCCACTTTAACTCCCAAGAGAATTGAAGACAATGCTTATGCAAAATTTTGAGGTGACAAAAAAAGAGCATTATGGTATGTTATGGTATTATTATGGTATGGTATTATTATGGTGTGTTATGGTATGTTATTAACTATCGCTGTGTTCAATTTTGTGTTCTTAACGTTAGATCCATTAAGAACAAGGCAATGGCAGTTAAAGACCTTGTGGTTGATCAAGACATTGATATTTTGGCTCTTACTGAAACTTGGCTGCGTCCTGGTGACATTGATGATGTTGAGATAAGAACCCTATGTCCAACTGGCTATAGATTTTTACATGTTCCGAGGGGTCATTCCCGAGGCGGAGGTGTTGGTTTGTTATTTAAGGACACTCTCCAAATAAACAGTCACATCACCGATACCTTTACGACATTGGAACTCATGGATATTCGCTTTAGAAGTCTTCAATCCATTAGAGTTCAGCTTATTCATAGCCTTCCTGATAACACCTCATGTGCGCTATTTCTTGAAGAATTCTCAGTGCTTCTGGAACAAATTATGGCTGAATCCACTGGTCACTTACTAATATCTGGTGACTTCAATTTACATGTTGATCACCCTTGTAGCATCTATGCAAACCGCTTTAATGAAATTCTTGAATCATGCAACCTAAAACAACACGTCACTGGAGCAACTCACGCTGACGGACACACTTTGTATCTTGTAATTTCTAAAAAAGATAATCCTGTCATTACTGAAATCAAGATTTTCGACCCTGTAATCTCGGATCACTGTGCGTTTCAAAGTAACCTGCGTGCACGAAAACCGCACTTCACGAAGAAAAAGGTGTACTATCGGAAACTGCGTTCTTTGGATATTGAATTCTTTTGTGAAGATATTTTGACTTCTCCTTTGCTACAGGATCAAGCTGTTGAACTCAACGCTCTTGTGGATCAATATGACAATATATTGCGATCCCTTTTGGATCTCTATGCCCCTTGAAAACGGCGAGCAGTAACATCACGACCTCGTGCTCCCTGGTATAAGCCAGAAGTGGTTGTACAGAAAAACATCCGAAGGCGGTTGGAGTGGAAGTGGCGTTCGATTAGGTTACTATGTGATCGTGAGCAAGTCGACATATTACACTGACATCATTAATGAATATTCATCAGATCAGAGGGTATTGTTCAAGACTGTTGGAAAGTTATTGCAAAAATCAACCAACAAGCGTTATCGTCCTTCTTCTGGTGATACTGCCTTGGCAAATTCATTTACCGATTTCTTTACCAGCAAGGTCGATAGAATACATCATGGGCTTGTTAAAAGGAAAAATACGCGTTGGGTCTTCCCCTCCTGACGTCAAAGTTTGTGGTGCAGAGCCTTGTGACTTTCCTGAGGTTACCCTGGAGAAAATAAAAACAGTTTTCAAGGAAACCACTATCTAACTCTTGTGAACTTGATCCTCTACCCGCGGTAGTTTTGAAAGGCTCTCTTACCGCATTATTTCCTACTATTATGAGGATGCCCGATGCTCTGAAGGTTGCTATACTATCGCCCACGTTGAAAAAATCTGATGCTGACTTTGAACAATTCCAAAACTTTCGTCCTATCTCGAACTTAAAAGTAGTATCGAAACTTGTTGATAGGGCAGTTGCCATACAACTCACAGATCACGTCATGGCGCACCACTTAGATGAGACGTTTCAGCTGCATATAAGAACTTTCACTCCACCGAGACAGCTTTAGTAAGGGTCCAGAATGACTTCCTTTGTGCTATTGACAACAATGAGTCTGTTATACTAATTTTATTGGATTTGTCAGCTGCCTTCGACACGGTTGATCACTTGATACTTTTATCAAGATTACGTGACCGCTTCGGAGAAAACGGTACTGCAGTTGCATGGTTTGAGTCATACCTGACGTCGCGCACGCAGTTTGTTCGGGTCAACGACCGTAGGTCAACACAGCGCTCTCTAGAACGCGGTGTACCCCAGGGATCTGTTCTGGGCCCTCTTCTTAAGCTCCTCTTTACATCACCCATTGCTGATATCATCGAGTTTCACAACTTACAGTATCATTTATATGCTGATGATACCCAGCTGTATTTATCTTTCAGAACTGACTTTAGCTATGATCTCTCTTTGGCTAAGCGTCGTATCGAATGCTGTGTAAATGACATTGATTGTTGGATGGTGAACAATGGTCTTAAACTCAATCAGGATTAAACTGAACTTGTTCTCATCAGCTCAAAATTTCGTTGCAGGTCTTCTCTAGAGTTTATCCAAGTAGTCCAGGTATTTTATCGCGAAAAGTCGGTCAACCTGCCACTAATTGCAAAAGAAGGTTTTTTAACGGTTTTTGGTCCAGGAACATGTCCTCTATAACATATCAAAAGTCCCCGAAAATCCGAGTACGGGAAGTTGACGAAAATCGAGGTTTTTAAGAGCCCTATATAGACTAATACTGCGCAGCATGGAAACGAGGTTGTATGTCCTGCCCGTTGTGTTGCTCGAGTTTGAAGCCCCGTACAGCATGGACTAGTAAAGACTGAGAGACTTTATTGTGTTTTCTTCCTAAGTAAGTGCATTTATGTAACGATTAAATGAAACAACTGTTCTCTGTAAGATTCTTAAATCAGAAAAAAACACGTAAAACCTGTAGAAAATATCCACGATTGTTAGCTATCTAGGTGAAGTATTTAGTGAGGAATTCTGTCTTCCGCAAGCGAATTTAGAACTTTTAAAATGATAATTTTAAACTGGTCTGAAAGTAAAAGTAGTCGTGTTCTAAGGTAATATAATTCAAGAAAAAATATTTGACTTGCGTGTCTTGAGTAGAGACTTCCAAAATGAACTGATCATTCACCTCGGTGAAAAAACCTGTACTTCACTCATCGCTTCGCGCTTACTTTTTTCGGGAGTCACAAAACTTAGTTTATTAGTAAATTCATCTATTTTTTTTCTTCAAAATTTTAAGAAAAAAGTCTAGAAATAGTATCAACTTTTATGAAACTGGCGACCATTTTCGCTAAAGCCGAAGGAAATGTTTTCACTGACTACTAAACACACTAACGTGTTCAGGGTAAATTATTGTGGTTAAAGTCGATCTGTCAAACACGTACTTAACACGATTAATTTGAGGTAAACTTGAGAAGCAGGAAGAAACTGTTTTCACAATATGCTCGTGAAGTAAGGCTCGAGATCAATTTTTTTCTGTTGTAACGAACTTGCCGCCTGTCCCAGAATCGCTTCCTTAGTTAATCAGATGCAACTATTAGTCTGACTGTAGGCTAGCAGTACGAGGTGCATTTGTCGCAAGAATGCTGAATGGTAGACAGTGTTCCCCGGCCTGCAAAGGGTCTTCGCACACAAATTTTTCGAACACTGTAGACTACGAAAGTTAAGATTCGGAAGACACTAAAGTGGTTGATGAGAAGATCCAACCCAAACCTTCCGCCCGTAATCTGGGAGTGATTAGAGATCAGAGTCTTGATTAAACCGACCATGTTAACAAAATCTGCGTTTCCTGTCAGTATCATTTAAGGAACATAGCTAAGATCAGGAAGTACAGATACCTCTCAAATTTTAGTACATGCGTTTATTAGCTCTAAACTTGATAACTGTAACTCTTTGTTATATGGTCTTCCTAAACACCTGTTGAACAGGTTAAGATTGATACAAAACACTGCTGCACGCATTGTTACCTTATCCAAGCGGTTTGAGCATATCACTCCTATCCTGTTCAAACTTCATTGGTTACCACTAAATTATAGGCTACTAAAAACGATAAATGTCTTTTGTTTTCATTCTATATTTCAGGATCATTAAATAGCATTTTATCAAAATATGCATATTTAAGTAAATATGCATATTTTGATAAAATGCTATTTAAAAAGTTTCGCTTAATAGTAAAATGACGCCAGCCTATCATTTTCTGTTTGCTATGTGTTCAAATCTCGCATATGTAACGTTCATCTTGTACCTGTATTCATTTTCCTTTTATAGTCCCACTTAGTCCCCGTTGAAAATTTGTGTTGCAAACTGAAATATCGGGCAAACATAATTCACCACTTTATTTTTGTGTTCTTTCTCTATTTTTTTTCATCACTCTTCCTGTCGTAAGGATAAGTTTACTGTTTAATTTTAACCCAATATGCCTTAAGTGGTCTGAGTTTGCAGCTTCAACAAGCGTTTGCGCAAGATCATGTGACTGAACCGCTTAAGGCTTAATCCACGCCATGGGTATAAACGAGCAGCTTTTAGGCAACTTTTTGCAACGAGCAACTTCGGGCAAATTTTTAAGAATTTTGGGGCACCTTTTTTGAAATTTTGGAGCAACTTGTGGCTAGGGATAACTACAATATAATAAACTGTAATGACAAAACAACAAAGAATAAAGACTCGAGTATTCCCAATATTTCGAACGGACAAGCCGTTCTTTTTTCGAGGAATTTATAGAAGAAACGGAAAGTCGTTACAGATATATAAATATAGTTTAAAAGCGGTACAGTTGGAAATTTGATACCAGTAAAAATGTAAAATTTAACATGAATAGGCCAATAGGAATAAACTAAAAAAATGAAATAAAATAAACACGTGGTTGAAATCAAAGAGGAAGCGAGTTGGAACGGTCGCCCTGAAGACAAAGCCGCGTTCATTGATGCGTATTATGCCAATGAAGGAATTTTACTGGAAGTTGAGAATACTCACAATGCCCACATGCTATACAGCAGCTAGAGGAGACTGGTTAGGAAAGCGCAGCCGGCAAACATCAAAGTTGAAAACAATGGTGCTGTATGTTATGTTGGAAGCTCCCTGACCGTGCACAATCCTTTGTTTTTTGTTCGCAAATTGACTGAAAAAATTAATGCCATGTTTGTTTTGGTCTGTAAGTTCAAAATGATAGGAACTGAACGTTGTGCACGGTCAGGTCCAAAAAAGCTAACAATAACATATAAGAAAGGGTTTCCGCCGTTCCATTTTAATTAACTATGATGCGAGGGAAGTGGGGACAACAACCTCATAAAACATAAGTAACAGATTTCTTGGAGCACCACAAATTACGACTAGATTCAGATGAAATCCAAGTGCGTCACAGATGAATGCGCGTAGAGGTGTATTTAAAAAACCTCAGAATATGATTGTCAACATTTTTATTGCACGTTTCACGACTTGCTGGGCAAGATTACACCTTTACGAAGCCTTTGAACTATCGGGGGAACGCTCTTTGTATTTCGATACAGATTTGGTTGTAGTCTAATATCTAGGGGGGTACTGCCATATATGGGCTATATAGGTATGTGCCACTGTGAAGGGTATGGTTTTCAAGACGCTTACTCTGGAATAGGGTATATAAATGAGAGAGTTTGGGTCTAGAATAGGGTATCATTTTCCAGGCAACTCGTCAATAGACCTTTTCACCGATACGGCGGCTATATTGAATTAATTTGATTTAAGGAGTATTATGGGATGCCAAGGGGGCATGAGCACATTTGTTTTGTTTGTACGAGCGTCCTTCGGGACATTTTTTCTTAAAATTTTCTTAGAATAAGATTCTAAAGGGAAAAAAGATCATTTTGCCGTGTTTGGATGTAATAATCATCGCCTTTTTTTGGCTTAGTATTAGAAATATGGTCTTTCACTGTATATTACTCGGAAAAAGGCGATCATTATTACGTCCAAAAACGGCACAACGATCTTTTTTCCCATTACAACCTTATTCTAACAAAACTTTGAGACAAAAATGCCCCGAAAACGCTCGTAAATACAAAGAAATGTGCTCATGCCCCCTGGGCATCCTATAATACTCCTTAAATTAAATCAATTCAATATGGCCGCCGTATCGGAAGATTTTAGTCTAAACTGGGGAACCGAGAATTGCCACTCAAAACTATAAACAAATCAAGTCGGGTTTTTTTGGACTGTGCTAGTGACCTCCGTAGTTTCTGGAAAACAGCTACTCTAGGATAGGGGGGATTTTGGGAGTTAGATCTAATGTAGGGTAGTAAAATTCAGCTGAACTACAATCTTGGACAAAATAAAATGGAACAGCAAACCCACATCCCCCCCAAATCAAGGATTGGAACAGCAAACCCCCATCCCCCCCAAATCAAGGATGAAGGCGCGCGAAGGGCAAAAACGCGCCATTTTCCCATCCTTGATTTGGGAGGGAGGGGGGGTCTAGGTTTTCCATTTATTTTGTCCAAGATTGTAGCTCTGGTATAGGCTAAGGGTTCCAGGGTCCCAGCGGCACATCCCCACCCATGAAAACTCCTAAAGTACCTCCTCTGGTTCAATACTTACTGACAGATTCAAATCCACTAAACAGATACAATACTTTTACAAATAATGTAATTAATAGCAGAACTCGCTTTTAGCACTTAAAAATATGCAGGCCTTAAGCACAGCTGCAGTGAATTTTTATTCCAAAAAACATCGCTTAAACGCACCCTTAGCTATGAAACTTGTTATTTGGTAAGGTTAAAATTAACTCTAATAAGCAGACGTCATATTGTAGAGGCTTTTCTCAGAAATGGATTGTTGTCTCCACGTAAGCTGCCAATTAACTCAACTTTTCCTTTCACCCCTTTTTTCCCTCCCCATTCGACGCATGCCAAGCAGGCTATCTCCACTCGGTCAGGCGACGTCCTGTCAACCGAGAAGTGACTTACTTTTCAAGACTGATCTTCTATTATCTCTTAAGAGATCGTCGAGCGAGCGTATGAAAATAAAACCTTGGAGGAGTTATTGACAGCACCACGGTATTGGGGAGCCTTGCGAAACGGGTATGAGACCGTTTACACGTTCAGGGCCCGGTTCCTCGAAAGATACTTAAGTCTTACCCACGATTAAGCTAAATTTTTAATCAAGGTTTCTTATCTAAGGACATGCAACTCGAGCTTACAAATATACTGTTCAGCCTTCAGTCCAAGATACGGTAAAGATAACACAAAATGTTACTCTAAGGAGGGTTCCCGTCCAGATTCCAAGAAAAAAAAGCCCCGGGTAGGTTGGTTCAAGAGTAAGTAAATGCAATTTTCAATTCGCCTCACCCCCTGCCACCTGAACAGGATAACTTTGAGGAAATCTCCAACCCAGGACCCAAAAGCTGGACTTGTCCGGGGATTGCCCGTGGAAAATTATAGGCAAAATTGATCCATGCATTAACCAGGTCAACTAATTATCAACTTGCTTAATAATTTACCTCTTCTGTACGCGCTTGCTCAAGGAGCCTGTTCACAGGTCAACTCTCAAGTTAGCAGTGACTGAACTCTTTAACTCCCTTCAAACTGTACGTTTTAGGGTCTTGGTCCAAAAGCGATTATTCTACTTGAATAACGTTAAGGAATTTAGATCATGCAGTAAATTATTTTTGTGTTACTATTACATCTCCTTGAAAAAATGTGACAGGTAGTTTTCAACTTTGAAGTCCGGATGATTCAGTCAGATCTTGAATTAAGAAAGCGATAACCTTTTTTTGTTGTCCCTTCATGATCATCACAAGTAAGAAAGATCATCGATTCAATGTCAACTTGTGTTCCTTCTAACTCGCTGTTGGATTCTGTGGTTCAAGGGTTATTCCGTTAGCCACTGGGCCTTGAAGGTTAAAACTAATCACAAAGTAGGCCAACTGACCTTTGGTGAAATCTCTCTCCACCTGTCCAATACCTGCACTCTTCGCCACGTAGAGCTCCACTTGTCCTTGAATCAGTTCGATGTAGGTTTTTAGCCTTTTATCTCGATCAGAGGATGGCCCCACGCGGATTCTTCCTTTGCACTCTAGTAACTTTTTCCTGATCTCGACTTGCCAGAACCTGGGTACTGTATCTGACTGGACGGCGGTCGAGTAGTCAGTTTCGCCGCGGAACAAGGTGTTGCGGGTGACGAGGCGAGACATTCCCTTCCCATCTTTACCCACAAAAAGCGTGGACTGAGTAAGGCGGCAATGGCTCTGTGACTTGTCACGGCATGCCTTCAAAGCTTTCAAGTATTTCGGCATGAATTCTATGGCATTTCCATCTAAAATCTTGAGAAAACAAATCGCCATCTGGTAGAAGTATGGAAGAGAGTCATGACGTGACACTTCTAACCACTTTTCCGTCACGGCTAAACCCTGTTCAAGACTGTAACTCTTTGGTCCAGTGACCAGAACGCAAACTTTCATTAAATGGTACGCAAAGCGATATTCATTTTCTTTGAACACGAGGTCACCTAGAAGCCTCTGTAAGAACAAAAGGTGCTCTTGTTGTAAGTTGTCGATTGCATCACCTGAATTGAAGAGAAACAGAGCCTGCAGTCTCTTTAACTCTAACGCTGAAGACCTTGGGAAGTTCTTCGCACTGCAAAGTGCCTTACAAGCTTGAACTACATCTTCTGCATCACGTCCACGTCCATTTGAAGGCAGACCTGTCCGAAAGGTCTTCATCAACGAGAGCCTTGCATCGTGACACTTTTGCTGTGTTTCCTCAGGATCTGCCAAGCTTGGCACACTTTGGACAATTCTGTCAACAACATCAAGCAGACAAAAGGAATCGCTAACGCAAGTACGAAAAAATGGAGGACACTGGTTAGCTAGGAACTTCAAAGTTTTTTCTGAATCACGGTTACAGATGTTTTTCATGATCCAGCTGATGCATGCTAGCCAAACATTAACTTCGCCAATTAAAGGATTGGGGTAGGTTGGAGGAAAATTGCGAGCTTCTTTATAAGCCTCGAGTACTTTAGTAGCCAGTTCTTCAAGCTTTGCCAGATCTCTAACTCTCCCAGTGTTGGACATGTAAGCTAGCTCAACATACAGCACATTGCCTTTCGCGTTGCAAAGGATTCTGAACCTCTGTTTTGCGTTTTTGGCTTGAAAAGCTCGTTCAATGAGCTCCTTTGCTCGAGAGAATGAAGGGGGAACCATCTTGGCAAAAAATCTTGCTGCGTGAGAAATTACTACTGAATTCCCGGTCTTCTCTCCCGCGTCACAAAATATTTCCGCAGCACGTTCTTGGTTGATGGCTTTTAGCTCTTCGAAAAGAACTGAAAATTTCCGCTTCTTTTCACCATCCTTGTTGTGAACAAATAACACTTCAAGAAAAGACATAAAATCTTCCCGCTGGAAAATTGGAAACTGAAGGAATTGGTTTACCACTCGAAACAAGTCACAACCTTGGGTTTCCAAAGCCTTCTTCAGCAACATCTCTGCCACTACTCGATGCTGGAAAGTATAACTTTTTGGTGATGACTCCTGCAATCGATAGTCCCTTCCTCGACGAAGCAACGGGTTTGAAGGGACCATTAGATTCAGCAGATGTCCTGTGAACAATTGCTTGATGTCGTCATATGTCACGTTCTTTTGCTCTCCTAGATAAATGTATCTTTTAAAAGCGTCGTAGAGGAGAAGGGCGGGTGTTGGCTGGTTTGCATACTTTTGGAGAAAAGCTACAACAACGGCAATTTCTTGTTGAAGGCTCTCCATCTCGTCCCAAGTATCGTCGATTATTTTCTTAAGCTTGGGCCGAAACGTCTGCAACATTGCCAAGAGTGGGAAATGAAATACACGACATGCAGGCCCTGATTTCCCTGTCTCTCCCAACGAGTTTTCGATGAGTTCCTTGTACATTTTGTCAAACTCATTTAAATCGGCATATGAATCTTCCAACTTAACATCAACGTGGAACACCTGATGAACACGCGACGGCTCTTGTGTTTCTTTTGGTGTGGTCTTGGAACCGTGTAAGCAGCGCAACAAGAGAGCCCGCTTTCCTTTGTTACCAAGCATCCTAACAAGTTTGTTGGAAAGGCCTTCAATTGCCCTCGACTGTTTTCCATCTATAAGAATAACAGGGGATGTATGGCAAATCTCTTCTAAAGCTGCTATCCGGTCGGCCAGTTTAGCAGCATAACTGTTGTCTTCGTCATAGTAGAGATGTGGGTTTATCTCTATGAAAGCACAAGGGTATGCTTTGTGGAGATCCCACATCACCCGACGAGCGATCGTAGTGCCACCTGTCCCAGGTAAATGCTTAATTTCCACAATCACAGATTTAGTTAGACTCTTGTCAAGAAGGCGCTGAACATGGGTACGAATGTCATTCTCGATTTCTCGCTTCGCATCGTGATTGTCGTAGAGGCTCGCAAATGAAATGGGATTACCGGAGATAAACAACCGCCGGTGTTCTTCAAGGAACTTTTGTAAATGCACATCTTCTTCCGACGAGTTGTTTGGGACTGGTAACTCTTCACAACTGTCATAAAGGAGTTCAAGGTGCTCCTTTAGGTAAAGGTATTCTTTCTCACTTAGTTCTGCGTAAACCTTGGCTTGAGAAGAAGGCATTCGATACTGCTGTGATGACGACAAGCAAAGCATCTGTGTTAAGCCAAGATGCACGAGATCTGGAGGTAAATCGATTAAGCGAATCTTGACTTGTCCAAGGACAGAAAGCTGTTGCTTTTGCTTAAACGACACGACTTCTAATCTGAACTGGTCAACAAAGTTCTCAAAGAGCCGACCCAGCGTCCGTTCTAAATAAGGAACAGTTCTTTGATTAAATGGAAGAATTAAGCACACCACAGGTTTTTGCCTGTCAAACTTATCTGGATCGCAATAGCATCCAAAAAATCTTGAGATTTCTTTTACCGAGGTTGCTTCCCACTCGGGGAATTCTTGCTGTTTTCCACCCGTATCACTAAATCTTCCATTGACAAACAACCACTGGATCTTGCTACAATCAATTTCTCGCGCCAGGTTAATCATTGATTTTGGCTTCATTTCTGCTGGGGTAACCATGCTTACCAAGTTGCCTTGCCCTTCATGTGATGTAAATTCTCGGTAAAATCCTTTTTCTTCAGACATTGGATCGAAGTCCAAAACCATCTTCCATGGAACGCTTCTTAGAATAGAAAAACAGTCCAGATTTTCTTGCGAGAGAGCGTCGGTAACAAGAATGTACTGGTAATTCCGGGTATCAAAATCTCCTACTGCATCACGAAACCGCAACCATGCATCCCAGTTAGGGCCACTGAGATCTTTCGGGCTTACTGGCGTTTTGCAACTGCTTAAAGCGTCGGCGATGGCATCCACTTTTCTTTCTATGGAATCCAACCTCTCGTTATAATGAAAAAACTTGGTCTTCTCCTCAATAAATAGGGACTTATAGTATCCTCCTGCACGGAGATCGGCGTCTGAAATTAGAATAAACAGTACCATTACACCACTCGTCACCTTTTAAAACTAGATTTAAGGTTGTTCTCACTGTAATCGTAAAAGAAAAGTTGCTACAGCTATATGATCGTTTAACCTCTAAACGGAGTAGATCATTGAAAATTAGCATATACACACTCAGTGATCTTGGTGATTTAAGCAATCTGATTGGTTCGCTATCTCGGACTATTCAACAATATTCACCTCCTAGCGAGTGGATAATGTGTGAGCTCGGTGTTTTTCCCATTTTTTTAGAGAACGATCTTTCAAAAGTCGACAAAATCCCAGGGCTGACTTTTTTTAAGGCAAGAAAAGACTTGGAAGGATTCAATAAGGCGTTGTTCAATTTACTGTAGCTGAGTTTTGTGCTCGATGGATTGTTTACAACTCCCGTGCATTCGCGTAGAAGAAGCCGTTTCGTGAACTCAGCGTTTTCTAACAAGAACATTTTGGCTCAAAAATCGAAGTTTATTTATGACAAAAAAATTTAAAAGGAAATGTTTGCAGAAATTCTACGTTTCAAGTAAACAGGAACACGAATGATACAGGAAGACGACGTCTTACCTCGAGCAACCGAGCCGGCCATTTTTGTCAGCACTTCATGCGAAGAACACAACAAACCCTTTTGGCTATAAACTCGGCGAGTCAACAGAAAACAACAAAGCTCCACTTTTCTTCTCAGGTAAGGAAACAGTTCAAACTTTTAGCGGTTCCATTTAAGCCAGTACGCTGTTGTTTGCGAAATGATAAACTTGTGAATTGCCATGTTTAAAAATTCTGCCAAGATCTATTTTTAAACTTACGCGTGATTTGATCTGTCAATCAAATTGTACTTTTTAATGGTTTTCTCTCTGATTTTGATGAGATCGCTTCGTGCGTATATACTGAAACAATTATTCTTTTCAATCTCGGTGAATAGTGGCTTTGGGAATATTTACCCACTATTCACCTCGATTTCAAAGAATAATTGTTAAATGTATGATACATGCGAATAAAGAAAAATTCAGATCACTATTCCGCTGGGTGATGCTCTGAGTTCTGAAGAAACATAGGTATTAAAAGTACCAATCCAGAAAAATAAAACACTACGTTTGAAGCTACGAATGGTAAAGAAGGGAATTCTTAAATTCACTGTGGGATTAAATTTTGGTATACGCATCACTCTTTCGATGGAACTTACGCACACTGTATGCCAAAGGTATGAAATGCCTTAACTTTGCTTTAACCAAGCCTCAACTGAAATGAAATGCTATTTATTAGTTAGATGGCTCGACGACCGTTCTTATTTGAACGCTAGAAGTAATGTACCTGACTGAATTTTTATATCTGCAATCTCAACGGGATCAGCGCCAAGTGTAACAAAATGGGCAGAGAGTTGAGGCCAGAAGATGTTGAAATCATCATCACTCATCCCATCTGTAGAGGGATGTCCCAGCAATTTGTTTCGAATCTTCTTTAGCTCTTGCAAGGCAATATTATAGCCAGGTCTCTTGCTCATTTCGAAGACACAAGTCTTTGAGAAGAGAAGTGCAGTTGTGATTAACGAGAAGTCCCATTTGTCAATGTTGCCACTGTTAAAAACATTTTCTTCTTCTTTGTTAAGCTTCATCTTTCCTCTGTCAAAGGCAGCTGCATCTGAAGGTTGATTTGTCCATGATGGATTCATCTCCAAGAAAAGTTTTCTGAGTGCTTGAAGACCCACTCCATAAATCAGCTTGAAAATGCAGAGTATGCTTCTTCTAGAAATAGGAAAGAAGTGCAAGATAACTTTTCGGCCTTTGCAAATATATTTAAATGTGTTAAATTTAAGTAAACAAATTACAAAAAGAAAAGGTTTCTTGTCTCCTTGTCCTTCTCTTCATTAACTAATTCCTGTGTGAGTGATGAAAACCTGGTTGTATCCCTCTTTCCTCCACTTTCTTTTATGAAATAATCCTGGGACTATGTGGATTTGCTTCCTCTACTTGTTCAATAGAGAGGGGGTAAGAGAATCTAGCCTTGCTATTCTCCATAATTATGTAGCAGCTACCCATTTCCTAAACTGAACATAGTTTTGACTCCTCAAGTTCTCTTTCCAGTATTGTTGACCTTAAGTTGTTAAAAATCAGGTGGACTTGGAGAAAAAAGCTCATATCTAGCAGTTTATAGAGAAGTAAAACAACTTGGATAATACAGAATTACCTTATTAACGATGCACGTTAGCAACGCGAAGAAAATTTACGTTACACAAAATTAACGCGAATTTTCCAAAAGTTACGTTTAGATACATCAAATTAACGCGACATTTTCGAAAACAATGTGCGCCTAACTTTGTTTTACGCGAATTTGCTGTAATACAAATTTCTCAACGTACATATCTTAAGGAAAAAACAACAGCATTTCCAGTCATTTTCAGTCATCCTCTGGGAAATGGATCAATACGAAAACAAGTCAAAAGACATTTTAAACCCAATTCATTAAAGAAGAACTGTCTGATAGTGACTGAGGCGTTGATAGAGGAACTATGAGCAGACGAGGTGCTGTAAACCAACAATGATGTAAAAAAGTGCGATTTAAAATTGCGTCAAAAAAAGTGCATCGTTAATTTCCTATAATAAGGTATTTACCCTTCACAGTTAAGTATAGAAGATGAATTATCCTCAGCATCAGATTCCAGATCTTCCACTTTGGGTTGTATAGAGAAAGCTACAGCTGCGGAAGTGTCTGGGTTTCTGTCAGAACAAGCAACTTCAGCACTTTCGTTTTCATCCTCCCCTGACGTGCAAAGGTCTCCTTTTCTTGTCTCAGTCGTCTCTGTGTTTTCAGCCACGCTAGTATTACAACCGTCATCAGATTCTTTGTGAGTTTCTTTTGCAGAGTCCATGACATCATCACCCTCTTTCTCAGTGGATGGCGGATGTGGTATATTTGATACGTCAGAATTTTCCTCATCTCTCACTTTTTTAATCTCAGGTTGGGGAGTCACATCAGCAACAGCACCAGCTGACATTTCTGCTTCATTGACTTGTTTGTCATCAGTCTGGAGCTCACATCCTGTCAAGCCGTTGACATCATCAGCACTGCACGGTGGCTCAGGACTAGCACTGCTGATACTTTCAGTTTTCTTTCCTTTCTTTTTTTTCTTCCTTTTGTTTGGAGATTTGCTCTCCAAGGTTTCTTCAATGTTTTCCCCTTCTTTCTCTAAGGTCAGCTTACCTATGTTTGATAAACTCGGATCATTCGGATCTGCTTCTTCATCAGGAGCTACAGAAGTTGCGTTACCACCACTTCCAGCGGACTTCTTTTTCTTTCGCGATTTTTTCTTCTTCTTTTTATCCGTTGGACTACATTCCAGTAGTGTTACTTCTTTATCTTCTTCTTTAGCAGACATAGCGCTTGCTATAATTTTGTCAGAAGCCGAATCTCTCCCATGATCATCACACGGACTTTCTGGCGCTCGAGTGACTGAAGGGCTCACGCTATTATTACTTTCTGGTGTTATTTCCGTGTTCTGCGTTTCCTCTGAGTTTTCCATTAAAAAAAGATTCCTTACCTGAAAAAAAGAAAACTAAATGAATGAACACTAGCACAAAGATCGCCAGACTAAATAAGCTTAAATATTTAATAGCTTGATTTGATAGAAAACGCGCGACGAAAAAGACGTCCGCAGGTGGCCAAATAGCTCATTGAAAGCTGACACAACTTGATATTGAAGAGTGATTTTCCTCCAGAAAACACGGAGATAAAACGCAGTTTATATCAAGTATACAATATAGTTAACAACTGAGTTCGCAAAAATCCCCTAAGGCAGTTTTTTAGTTAATATTTCATCCGCTTTTAGAGTATTCAGTTCCGGTTTCTCTTCCTTGCCCGAACGCGGGTATCAAAATTCCTGCTGTGGTGGGTCGAAATTCTTCGTAACCAAATGTTCTTTGATAAAATAAGCTCAAATAGAATCTTACCGATAACTTCTTCTTTCTCGTTGAACGAGTATTCTTCAAATATTTCTACAAGGGGTATCACCCGAGTGTCGCTTATTTCATCTTCAATAGCAAAGTCCTGGGAACCAGCTAACTGAGACCTCGACTTGATGGGGTCCTTTTCCGATGGACGTATACAAAACATGGGCCCCCGGTCCATGGACCACCCCCGTGGACCTAGTCATGGACCCCTTCGTGGACCTCGTCCATGGACCACCCCTAATTTTTGAAGATAAATTTTACCGGAGGTCTAAACCAACTTTAGGAACCTTAAATGATGCTCTGTTTCTACGGGTTATAGCTCCTCATACTTTACACCAAGAGAGGAGCTTTATCCTCTCTTATTTACACTTGTTCAACTTTTTCTTGCAATTCCATACCAAAGTAATGGGTTCGTTTTAGTCTCGTAAAGGAGTAACCACTGATTTGATGGAAACAGGAGGAGTGGTAGGGAAGGGAAAAGTGAAGTAAATGGGAGCTCTCCATAACATTGCAGCCACCCAACGACGGTTTCCTCCAACATACATTGAAAACGTGACGCTTTTTAGACTATCCAGAGTACTTTTAGATCTCAAAAAGTGCATTCTGAGGGTTGCTATAAAATTTGGATCTGTTAATTCGGTCATCCTAGGGCAACTTGAGTCTGTTCGAAATTATTATGGCTTCAGTATTACTTTCCTTAAAACTTAAGATGCAATTTAAAGTTTTACGAAAGTGAGAATTTTTCTAGCTCCTCTGTCGATCCCATTTTTGGATCCCAAAAGTTTAGGTTTCCTTTTCACTACGAAAAATAACCTAATCTGGGGAGTAAAATGTGAAAAATTAAACTTCAGAAAATCGTCGGGAATTCATAAGATAAGCTTCTAGGCAAAGATTACTTCTTCGAACAGATATTTTACAGAAAACAATCGCTGGGTGCCCCTGACATTGTACAGCCATCGTTGTTATGGAGAACAAACTCGTAAATATTCTCGTAGGTGTCTATCGATTACAATCATCATGAATCATATCACAATCTACGGTTTTCATTGTTTTGCTACTTCAGATTTTTGTACCCGATCCGGGAAAAATTACGGCTTTTCTAGATCTGAGAAACCTCCGTTTCAAATAAAGAGTATTGGTTTAGTTTAGTTTTGTTTAATAGCCTGATGCTTTAGGATTAACAATTAGTTCATGCGTCAGCGTGCGTATGTCGAGATATTGAGCACGCGGGAAGTTTGGAGAGCACCAGAGAGGCGTAAGAGTTGCTCGAGGCGCAGCCGAGAGCAACTCTAGCCTCTGGAGCACTCTCCAAACTTCCCGCGTGTTCAATTTCTCGACATACGCACTGCTGAGGTATGAACTGATTGTTTTACAAGATTATCAAAGCGATCAATGTTGCAGTTAACTTAAAATTTTATTTATTGTAGCGTGCGCTCGAAGCAGTACGCGTCAATGTCTACAGTATGTGGCCCTTTGTCCGTCTGGCTCCTGGTCCGGCAGGTTTTACCTTGTGATGAAATTTTCGGGAAGAAGATAAGGTTACAATACAAACGAAACTTTCCGAGTGTTTATTGATCTGTTTGCCTTTTTAAGCTCGATTCGAGGTTTTGCTGATGCTAGGAAAGGTTGGAAAATCAAGTTAACGCGAATGTAGGTGAATTTTGTTCTGTAATTTTTGTCTTTTTCATGGCGCCTTAAATTACTTGGATATATTTTGAATTCACGGATACATGCGTGCGATTAAGTGCGTTAAGAAAGCCCAGTAATTTTTTGTGTACATGGTGTACAAGAAATGTTCTTTTGAGTTGCAAAAAAAATTCGGTCGACAGTTTGAATTTTAAAACCAAAGGTTTAGATAATATTCTAAAGTAATTTTGCGTACTAGGTCCTTGGCAAGATTTTGTAAAGTAAACTTGTCGAAAGCAAAAAATTCGAACTGATTTGTTTTCCAGGCCTAATCCGTCTCCTGTGATCAAAAGCCATTGTAATACGGCTCTTGAATGTGATCGAAGATGATTGCTATTTTTTGGGTGTAAATATAAGGTTATCAACTCAATGGAAGATGTTTCACTAAAATCACTTAGCCTTTCCCTCAAAAGTCACATGAATGTGCCCTTAAGTTAACTGATTTGTGGATTACAAGTTTATTGTTTGATTTAAATTATAAATTTATCTCAATGGGAGCTTCGCTTTTAGCCCTGGCCACATCTATATATACCTGGATTTTTGAAAACCGGGTTAGCAAAAATATCAACTCATTCTACTACGTGACAATTTAAAACAATAAAACCCGTTCAAAGGCCGATTAAAAGCCTTTATCTGACGCCGGGCAGTAAGTCAATGGTCCCTAGAAGCATTCCAACGAGACAAATTTAAAATGACGCAAATTTTAGAACATTTATTCACTAATCTGACTTCGCGAGCTTTCAAACCAGTGTCATTTAAGTCTAGAAATTTTTAAGTTGAGTGAACTGCAGTGAGAGAGTGCCTGGTTAAGGCTTACATAACAACTTAAAATAGTTAGCAAAACACTACTTTTTTCGCGGTCAGATAAACAACAGGATTTCGCATGGAATAGACAACAAACTGAATGAAACATGGTGCACAAATTATCACCTTCTTATCTGCAAAAATCGACCTATGGTTCAATGCCATTAGAGCCCGCTGAAACTAGACCTAGATCCAATTTTCCTGAGTCGAGAGTTGCTTTTCCAAGGTACAATCAGCTAAGCTAAACGCCGACGAAACAATATTAATGGCTGGCACAGAATATCTTGGCGAAACCACAGTTTAACCACGCGGTCAA